AGTTTTAAGTTCAAGTTTTCGCGGCTCCCTCCCTCCCCTTACAGACGCTCTCCATCACAGACCTTAGCAATTATTAAAAATAAGAGGCGTCAGACTTTCTAGTTTTTCTTTTTTGAAAAATTGATCCAGTTATAATTTTGAAAGATAATCAACATTATTGTTTGTGAGTTGATTAATATATATAATAGTGCATAAGATCCTCTGTAGATATAATGAATATGTAAAACAGAAATATTTTCCAATTAATTCAATGATTATAATAATAAGAATGTCAAATATAAGAAAAACGATTTAAAAAAAGTGAAAGATAATGAACGAACAGCAACAATGCAAAATAAAAATAGGGTGCTCTCAAACGAAAAAAAAAATTTTCTGTTTTAAACGTAGGAATAAATAACAAGGTCTCACTCTTGCTATTGATTATCGATGAAAACAATTATATAGTGTATACAAAATTTTTCAGTTTATATATGATGTACTAGAATATTAAGGTTTAAGGACATATGTGAATGCCACAGTTCAGCCCCAAAGAAGCTGAGCTAACAAGCTTTTTCGATTAAAAAGTTATCATTACAACATTTAGCCATATATTCGTGAATATGGTTTTTACTACTTCTCATTCTCTAAGCTCAATACTACGCAGTTTTCAAATAATCTATCTAATGGATGAATTCCATTATTCATAGGACTCTTAATCACTGTTTTTTTCTATTGAATCTTTACAACGAGATAAAAAGTGCCTTCAACTTTCAAGAGCATTAGACTTATGAAATTTTAAGAACTAGATGAAAAAAGTTTAATGTTTTTATTTCTGTATTGATCAGACACTCATTTTCGAAACCTAATATTCGACCAGATTAGTCAATCATCTTGGATTATAGTTTGTGTATGATAGTCATGAATAACTTTAGTTATTCCATCTTGAGAAAAAAAAACTGTCTTTTGATATTTCAGTTCAATTGATTCTTTTGCTTGTCTTTCAATAACATAAATTTCTCCTGCTATCAATGTTTTTCATGAAGTAATTTGTCCAGCAATTAATTGAAAAATAATTTTCATCGAGATAATTACTAGTTGTACACATTATTTAATCATATCGATATCCAATATGGTTCTTATCAATTGTTTAAGCTGTTCTGTAATGAATTTCTCTTACTACTAATATCATATTGATGAATATTAATACTGACATATTCAGCAATAAGCAGAAAAACGAAAGGAATTTCGTCAAGTATGAGAAGATATTTATGTCAATATTGAATGTTGTAAAGATTTGATAGTAGATACTATGCAAGAATATAATAACCAAGAATAATAAATGAATACGAGTTGATTAATCTTGACAAGATCATCAATAAAAATTTTTCGATTTTTTTCTTGACTTCTACTATGCTTGAGATGATACATTAATATATGTTATTTCCGTCATATACCTAATCAAGATCTCATTATGTATACAGGTAAAATATTCAGAATGCATATATATTCCTACAGATATTAATTATTTTATATATTTTTTCAATCTTAAAATACTATTGACTGAAACTTTCTCTCATCGTTGATAATTTAAAAATTCTTTTTTTTCCTATTCTCTATATTCAATGATCAACAGCCATGAAGAAATAGTATAAAAATGTGTTTATCATTGATCTGACTGACAATCAAAAAATAAATAAATAAATTTCCAATGAACAAAAAAAAAAACATCACGTATGATTTGCCAATATTTATCACAATATATTAGTCGTTGTTGCTATTGTCGTCTGTGAATATTCTAAATAAATTAAAAGAAAAATTAGGAAAAACTAAATCATAGATTATATTTAGTTACTGTTTTAATTCATTGAATGAATCAATATAGATTTGTTGAGCGATA